CTTCAGCACCCAAAAACCTTTCGGAATCACCCATGCCGGTGTTTTTCTCAAGCAAGATATCGATAGAGCAGCGCAACAAAATTTGAGTGCGCCGAGTAGGACTAAAAGCCACCTCCGACATGGCGATTTTTTCAAGTGCGAGGAAGAAGAGTAGATCTACACTAGAAACTAGGTGTTACCCCCAGCGCAGTCAGCTGATCGCGAGTATCAAGCAGCACGAAGACCAGGATTGCGCTGTGCCTAGTGAGCACGACGTAGTACACGATTCTGTACTATCTCCTGTTTGCGAGGAACAAGGAGAACAGGCGGCGGCTTGGATTTACGACTCGTGCGCTGGCGGAGAACAGTGAGCTGCCGTCATTACCGATCGAACTGGTTGGTGTTGGAGCTGATGCAGTATCTCTCACCATGATCAGCCTGATCCCAGCTCCCATCGACAGCGTCTTCTGGATTTAGTTCGCAACTTGCAAGCTCTGCAGAAGACGGCATCGGCAACATCAACATTGGCGTGTTTGTGACTTGCCGTCCTTGTCGGCAATGGCCAAAGCCGTGCTGGTGACTTGAGGTCCTTGTCGGCCAAAGAGGTGTGAAGAAGAGGGGTAGGTTCGCCGAATCGAAGCGTGCATATATCATCCGCTCAAGGCAAGGATAAGAGGCCGGCTGTAACCTGTGACAAAATTTCATCTGATTCGTGTGAAAATGTATGTAGCTAGGTGGTGGCTATGCAGTAGTTTGACCATGTTTTGAGCCGATTTCCCATTTGATCGCCAGAGAAAAATTCACCCATTTCGCTGTAGAAAAATGGCTATAACTTTCGAATGCCTGGACCGATTTTGATAAAATTGGTACCATAGTATTTCTCATTTCCTCGGTGACATTGTCCAAGAACAAGCTAGCTTGAATTATGAATTTGAAATTTTGACTGGAATCCCTAATATTGGAGACCGCGCTTATATTGGAGACCGCGCTTATATTGGAGACCGTGCTTATATTTTTTCAACCAATACATCCACACAGAGCAAGAAGAAATACATGCTAGATATCATGCATGCAGCATTGATTTCCACCAAGACTGTGCTAATAATAGAGACTGTGCTTATAATGAAAGGTGCTCACAGTGTGCTAGTATTAGAGACTGTGCTAGTAATGGAGACATGTGTGATAATAGAGAATATACGGTAACCCTCCGTGTGTGTACGTGTGTGCATGCAGTGCATGCACTGCATGCACTGCATAACTATACTGTTACCATGGTCACATCTTGTAATTCGACTGTGTTATGTTTTATGACAAAAATGTTGCTGTCACTCAGCTCAGAGTCAGAGCTTTGCAGAATGATTCAGAGAGCGCACGAAACATTTCACGCCCGTTATTAGTTCTTGTACAAGTAATTAGTTGTAGCTGAGTTCAACTTCAAGGGCAAGCGCCAGCAGATCAGACTGGTAAAGAAGTGGTATGGTGGAAGATTTGCGTCATGTACTTACTATTTTTTTTTTACTTACTAATTTAGTTACTTATAGTTTCACACACCGAGTCAAACATCACTTCTTCTCGGGCTCGCGTGCGTTGGGAGTGTGTGATTATCCGGCGAGAAGCAGCTACACGAGCGGTGCATGCACATTGCAGGTGCTGAAAAGACGAGTGCAGTGTTGATGCCGATCAGCGCTTGTCGCTTGCGATGCGTAGCGAAGTGCTTGAGGGAGAATTAGCGAGTGCAGCAGTTACGTTGTGGAACTGACCGAGTAGGTTAGTTCAAATCAACGACGTGGCTGCCCTCAGTGTTGTAGCGGTGACACGGGGTGTGGTGGCACGGTTGTGCATGTTGGTGTTGACAATAGTCATTCTCTGACAAAACAACACCGGCTACGTCGACAATCGCTAATACTTAATAGAGGGCAGCGATGTCAGCGGTAACGGAGGAGGATGTGCGTTATCTCAAGCGGTAAGCGGCATACTACTTACTAGCGCTTGCTACACGAATTCCTGCAAGCATAAATTCAGTACATCATGTAATAGGCAAAAATATAACACAATTGTTTACAAATTACAGACAATTGATGTCAATTCCGCTAAAGTGATTTTGATTTGTTCACAGGTGCACATGTGACATCTCTAGCAGGGAATGGTACTATCGACCCCCTTGCACACACTGTCTTGTTTAGGACCCCGGCGATTGCTATTACGCTGCTAATGCTAGCAGTTGAGCATTGGAACAATTGTTGCAATCGGTGCTCAGCTGGATCATCCACTCTTCGTCTCAGCTCACCCTGTACTGTACTTTATGATGGCATTCCCAGGCACTGACCAATCACCAACATACTGATTTGAAACATTGGGTATTACTGCTATGACCTTTCCCAGGCGCGTAGCACGCATGGGGGGGGGGGGGGGCACGTGCACCCCCCCCCCCCCTTAAAATTTCGACCTAAGTTCAGTATGCACATATGGACCATGAATGACATGCACCTGGCATCCTATACATAATTATGTGGCCGTGCACCCCCCCCCCCCCCCCTAAAAGCTGGACCAGCTACATGTCTGGTGTCAAGATATGGAGGCCACCGCAAGACGCTGCTACAACCTATCCGTATTCAGCCATGCTGGCCCTGCCCTTGGTCCATTTCAGTTATTGTCAAATTCTTCCAATGGGCACTGTATCATCATTCTGTGGTGATGATGTCATTGAATTTGTGTGTGTGTGTGGGGGGGGGGGGGGTGTCATTGTAACTTCTCAGATAATAACATTATAGTTTATACGGTTGTAGTGGGCCCACTGGGTAGGGCTGGGTAGGGCTGGGTAGGGCTGGGACAGATGCACATTATCAGTCATGAACCAATCTTGATGATCTGATGTGTGCTCACTGAGGAGAGTTCTTCCGATCATAGTGTCAAAGCCGAGTAGCCTTATTACAGCCGGCCCTGCAGGTGCTCGTTGGTCCCGATTTCACTTTCTGCACTTGTAGTTCGTACTGCTCTGTGGTGCTCTGTGATTGGTGTGGACATAATGAAAATGTTTCATAGTCTCAGGCATCATTGACTACCTCACCAATGTGGATCAGTTCTGGTCTGGACTCTTCGGATGGTGTTTCAAAGAAGGTGTGCTTTTGCACATGTGTGGATGTGCATGTGTGTGTGTGTGTGTGTGTGTGTGTGTGTGTGTGTGTGTGTGTGTGTGTGTGTGTGTGTGTGTGTGTGTGTGTGCGTGTGCACATGATGTTACCAGGCAGCAGAGGTTTCTGCGCATGGATGTGCACCCGACGCAGTGCTCAATAGTCCTGTGGTACACTGCTGAAGCGGCCGTGCTTGGAGACGAGGGAGACTATGTCACGGGTGAACGCAAGGAGTATGAGAAGATGTGAGTGATATTTAAAGCAAACACAATATCCTCCCCAAGTGAAAGCAGCAGCTTTCGGCCTGTTTATCAATAAAGCAATTCCACCTTCACAACATTGGCTCTCTGACCGACCTCATCACACCATCAACATTACTCCAAATTGTCGGTATCTACAACTTGGAGTCATGTTGCTGGTTTGTGAGGTCGGCCACGGAGCGCATGTAGTGGAGGTGGAATTGCTTCACTAAACACAATGTCAATAACGAATGAACCACAACGTGAATGAGAACATCGACATGTGTCGCCTTGCGCTGTGTGTCAAGTTCTGGCATGCGCACTGCCAAACAGAACTGATCCCGGGTGATCGATTGGCAAGCTGATCGAGGTTTGAATAATCAATGTTCACCTGCAATGTGACCCTAGCTATGTAGAAGGTATGAGCACCAGGGAGTAGTAAACTACCGGTATTTTACTACTCCCTGATGGGTACTGTTCGTCTAACATGGCTGACGTCATGTGACTCACTGATGCACGGATTGTTTGGGGTTGGACCCAACATGGCGGACATTGTGTGACCATTGCCACCCATAGATGCAGTGATAGGGCTTGAAAGTGCTACGTCACAGCATAGCAACAATTTCAAAAATTCAAAAATTGGATCCACTTGGATCCAGTTTTTGTATGGATCCAAGCACATTTCAAGCCGTCTTACTCTCAGCAAGGTGATGTAACCAGTGAAACTGTCTGATTTGGCTACTGGGGGCGGGGTTACAACTGGTGGCGAAATAAAAGTCACACCTGCATGCGACATGAGTGGGTTGCTATGCACCCACATACTTAGGCAATAGCAAAGTCACACCTTAGTGGATCCAAAAATAGAAATCTGATGTCAACTTACTACTCCCTGGCCGTTTTGACGTCATCACTTTCAAGCCCTATTGGCTGGTGTTGGAACCAACATGGCCGCCCCTGATAGTCATCTGATAAATGTGCCAGAGCTAGTTAGACGCATAAGTGAGCGTGGCTTGTGCATGAACAGATCGAGTTGACCAGCAGGGGTGAGATCTTTCAAAGTTTCCTTAGGTTATTGATTGAATATCTCAGTTTGGAATATTTCTTCTAACGAAAGTGAGTGGCCAACAAGAGATATGTCATTGTCGTTGTTGTTGTTGTTGTTGTTGTTGTTGTTATGTAGCATCTCGCTACGCAACCTGAAAGCTACGTGCAACCTGAGAGCTCTGACTGAGAGCATTCTGGACCGATGTCGAATGATACCCACGGTCAAGGTGCAAGATCTTGTGCAGCTCATTCGATATCTTCAGGTACGCTCGGTATCTTGTACAGTGTGTACTCTGGTACCACCGAGTGTGTGCTGAATCCGTCCCTACTACACAGCAGTATATCTAAACCTTTGAACACAGTTGTACGAGTTAGCTGTGACGTGTGAGTAGCACGTGACTAGGATGGGTGTGTTAAAAAATATCAAAAAAATCGACGGTTTCGCGTACCGGGCAAGTCAAGAACAAGGAGTCATACAACTCAACTGGGTGTGTTAGCTCCCAGCAAAAAGCAGTCCCCTCACACTTGCAGAACACAGGGGGTTTATAGTATTGAATATGGAAGAAGCATTTTGACAAGAGAGTAGACAAGAAAACGAAGACTAGAACAAACAATAGAACCACGGGAGCATGTGCTCTTCTATACTTGACGGGATCTCGTTGCTATGGTGAAGGAGCGGAAAATACGAATAGTGAGTATTGTACTGTCTCAGTATAAACACACCGTATTACACTTCTGTTGATGAACCACCTCTTCTCCTCATTCTCAACCAACTGCAAAACTTCTTTTAAATACTGCATACGATTATCATTTGCCTGGTGCCACCTCACGCTGTCCATAGTGCATGCAATGTGGCTTGTGCAGCAGCTCTCAGCTGCTGATATGGCTAAAGTCTGACTAGACATAGTGAGCACCAGTACCAGTAGCAGCGATACCGTGCTACTGGCGCTCACCGTGCTACGTCCTTCTCGACTCATGGTTTGGGTTGGTGTGTTTCTGACTGTGCTTTATAGAAAAGGCATAAGCATGATAGTGTCACTCCATCAGGTACAGCTGCAGCTGCAGCAACTGCAGCAGAGGCCGCCAAGTCCAAGGAGAGCGATGGAAGAGTGTACTTTGGCGAAGGATTCATGCAGGAACCATTTGAAGATGCAAAGGTCAGTCCTGCCTGTTTAGTTGTGCGAATTGAAGTATTGAAATTGCTTCTTTCCAACCGATCGTCAAACCGCTAACAACTTAGCAACGTTGGGTGAACAATCGCTTGCCAATAGCTCCTACTCCCACCCCCCCCCCCCCACACACACACGCACGCTCTGTGAAGCGTAACTGTGGCTGACTTGCCCAAGCTGTTGGCTGCTGCCACCACTGCTGTTGAATTTGTAGACTGATAAAATTGATGTGAAATGTACTTGATTGTACAAGAGGAAAAAAGATGTTCGGAACAGTTGGGTGGAATACTCAGTGAACAATCTTATATGGAACAGAAAGCGGCGCTAAAAGAAAAGGAAAATAGCACTAAACTGAGCAGCATAGCGGTAGGCATGAAAGTGGCATGCGCTCAATACACCTGGGGACAAGGAACAAAAAGAACACGAGAGAAAATCAGAAGTGCAAAGAACAGTGTGAAACTGTCACAGGAACAGTGAACAGGGGAACACCAACAACAACAGCAAGCCCGTAAGGTGCTAAGTAAACAGTTTCACGGCTATGCACTGGTCGAGGTCACCCTGGTCCTGACCGGCAACTCAGCCACCCACCCTGTCATATGCACTGCAAACGCACACCGAATCATGTATCGCCTTTGCCCACCCTATGTCACCGCATCGGTTAGGTCCATGACTTTAGTTTCGCGCCACTTTCTGTTCCATATATGATTGTTCACTGAGTACTCCACCCATTGTTGAGTACGTTTACTAATGATTGTAATGAGATGGCTGTTCTTTTTTTTAATTTGTTGACTGTTTGTGAATATTGTTGTGCTGGTTTGTCTGTTCGTCTGTTAGCTTGATGCTAATGATCAAGCACATCTTGATGACTTGGAAAACTACATAGAGCTGTTGTATGAAGAAGAGGATCAGAGACTCAAGGGTACTGGGTACATTCTGCAGCTCTTCAGATCACCACACAACCTGGAAGAGCTGGTCGAGAATGGTAAGCGGCCTTGCAACACTTCAGAGCATGTGTTGTACATCTACAGGGGCATCGTCGCACATGGTACGGTCACTACGGTATTGACCGTACCACGTTTTGCCCCATATACCCCGTGAATCAACAAAATACACTGATCTGGGATCTAAAATTCCAAAATTTTCGGCTCAGCCACCACTCCCCCACGAGTAAATTGTACTTCAGATGGCTGACCGTACCACGCTAAAATACCTTCCGACGCCCCTGATCTATCACATGACCACGCAGGACAGTCATGTTGGTTCCAACTCCACTCAACCCTTGCATCTATGGGTCACATGATGCTATTTGCACTGCACCAAAACAATTCTACATGTACATGTACATTCCATTTTGATTGGAGAGGGAGGGGGAGAGAGAACTTATCCTACTGATTTTGATTGGAAACTTGTGTGGCGACCCTGCCAGTTTCCATGGAAACATTGACAATGTCCACTGTTGTTTCCATGGAAACATTGACACTGTTGCAAAAGATGGATCCACGCGCGGGATTCGAACCCAGCACCCCTGTCTTTCCGGGACAGTGCCCTGCCGATTAGGCTACCTGGGATCACACACACACACGCACACACACACATACACACACACACACACACACACACACGTGGCTCCTTCTTGCTACATCTCCACTGCTTCTTCCATGGAAACATTGACATTGTCCATTGTTATTTCCGCTGATGTAGAAACACTGCTAAGTGCACTATCACGCGTTCTTCGTGAAGACTGGAAGACTAACCCAAAGCTGGCGATCAACATCATCTATTGCTTCTTTTGCATCAGCGCCTATTCTGTATTCCATCCAATCATCCTAAAACAGAAGGTAACACAACCTCTCACTGTACTTTCTGCATAAACCAGTGTCTGTGTGCGTGTGTGCGTGTCTGTGAGTCTGTGTGTGTGTGTATGTGTGTGTGTGTGTGTGTATGTGTGTGTGTGTGCGTCTGTGTATATGTATATGTGTGTGTTTATGTGCATGTGTGTGTGTTCTTGATAAGGCAACCAACAGGTTTAGTTTACGTAGCAGCAGCAGTGCAGAGTCTCAGCGGGAGATCACACATACTAGGTGGCTGATAAACAGCCCAGCTTGGCAAATGCGTGTTTGTATGACAAACTAGGCAAAGAATGGGAGTAGTGAGGGTCCTGAGATGGCAGCTCTCTGGTTTTGAAATTGTGAATATTCAGCACACTCTTATCTCTCTTTCTGTACCTCTCTCTTCCTTCTGCCCCTCCCCTCTCCCTCTCCCCTTCCCCTTCTCCCCCTCTGTCCTCTCCCCATCCCCTCCGTCCTCTTCCTCCTCTCTCCCCTCTCCCCTCCTCTCTCCCCTTCCCCTCTTCCCCCTCTCCCCTTCCCCCTCTCCCCTTCCCCCTCTCCCCTTCCCCTCTCCCCTTCCCCTCTCCCCTTTCCCCTCTCCCACCTCTCTCCACCTCCTCCCCTCTCCTCTCTCCCCTTCTCTCTCTACTGTGTTTATAGCATTCATGTAGCACATGTTACGAGACAGTGAACCACTGAGTCTATGCCTATAGCAGTACTCAATGTTCTCATCATGTACATTGTAGATCTACTCTGATCATGTGCTTTCTGTCCTGTGCCTACGGTGCACATGCACCTGCACTGTGCTGTATAGGTGGGCGCACAGCTTCTTGACGCACTCGAGTACGAACTGACACGCTATCGACAGTGGATGAAACTGCTGGCGGATAAGAAGCGCAAAGATATCCTTTTTCTCTCTGTTGTGTAGCCATAGTGACCCTGGTCATTATGCTATGTGTATGTTACACATTTCACTCGGTGTCGTTGAGTTCTCAGTGTACACCCAACTCGCAATACACGAACAGTCCTTGGCTACCCCACGTACAGTACATTGTGTAGCCAAGGACTGTTCGTGTGTTGCGAGTCGGGTGTACTGAGTTGGGTGTACTGAGTTGGGTGTACTGAGTTGGGTGTACTGAGTTAGGTGTACTAAGTTGGGTGTACTGAGTTAGGTGTACTAAGTTGGGTGTACTGAGTTGGGTGTACTGAAAATATGACAAGGCTACAATGGAGCTTCAAAGTTCTTAAAAATCGTTGAGTTATCGATGTAAAATGTAATATACCATTACGGCATTACCATACCATACAATACAGTGGAAAATCAGGCTGCCCCAGACCTGCAAACGTGGGCACTTTTGCGGATTAGATGTGGCTGCTGTCTTATCGATTAGTTATCATGGTATCCGATGTAAGTGTGTTCATCGTGATATCAACTACCCATACTACTCGTCTGTCTGGTGTATCTAACGCTACAACTCCTAGGAAACCGTCCGCATTTGTGAGTAAAGTTGAGCTTAGTCCTTGACTACAGTCGCTGCTCTCTGCTGCGCCCGTACCTGAAGCAGCAACTGATCCAGAGTCCGAGGAGAAGGTGGCATTTACGAACATGCAAGAACAGATACAGGGAAAGGTGCACTTACAGGACAAGTTCTTGAGAGGTAAGTACACTTGGACGTCTCTTGTGCAATATCCGGGCACTTTGGGACCGGGCACTGACCGTATCTCAGATTTTTTGAAGAACTGTATTTGGCACGTATTGCACATGTTCAGGTTACAGAAAGAATCCATTGATAACAAATGTGTGGATTCCACAGGCTGGCAGTGACAAATAAGCACTTGCACATACGGAAAAAAGTTCAAACCCCCCAAATTCGAAGCATTTGTGCTATAGGAACTCAAGTTGAAGGTGCCCGGTAGAGAGATGTACCCGTGTCCGAGGCGTCCAGATAAGAGGCGTTGAGTGTAGTCAGCACTGCTGCTGCTGTTGCATCACCTTATACTGTAGACCCATGTGTGTATCCGGGGGGGGGGGGGTAATACAGGATGTGTATGGGGGGGGGGGGTAATACAGGATGTGTATGGGGGGGGGGGGGGTAATACAGGATGTGTATGGGGGGGGGATACAGGATGTATATCGGGGGGGGGGGGGTAATACAGGATGTATATCAGAGGGGGGGTAATACAGGATGTATATCAGAGGGGGGGTAATACAGGATGCGTATCGGAAGGGGGGGGGGGGTAATACAGGATGTGTATCGGAGGGGGGGGGGGGGTAATACAGGATGTTTATTGGGAAGAGTAATACAGGATGTGTATTCGGGGGAGGGGGTAATACGTATGATTTACAGCCCGAGTACAAGTGAGTACAAGTGCAGTACCGGCTGATACATGACCTCACGGCTGACGCCGTTCGGTCATGTATCAGCCGGTACTACATGACCGAACGGCGTCAGCCGTGAGGTCATGTATCAAGCCGGTATTGCCCGTGTACGAGCGCGTACGAGGTGCTGTAAATCATGTATTGCATGCTTGCCCCCGGTGTTCCATATATGTACACACGTATGCAAGCAGACCAAATCATTTTCAAATGAAGGCTACACTGAACACAACTCCATTACAGTCTCGAGTGCGGTTTTGAATTTTTTATTTCTTCACAATTTGAACAGCGATGTTTTTGGTGATCGAGCAGTTAGAGTAGTTGCAGGACTGAAACACGCTTGTTCCCGGCTGCTTCGTCTCCAACGTTTGGAGCTCCTGGGGCGTGCAGCTCGCGATCAGGGCATCGATGTCTGCATCCCAATCAGACGCTGCCGGAACAAGAGAGCTGGATGATCACTGTGGCTGCAGAAGTAGGTCTGGAAACAACGGAAGCTCAGGTGGTGCTGCTGGCTGAAAGAGATCGGCCAGATCAATGCCTGTCAGTTCCGGATGAAGCGGCTGGGCAGGTGTAGTATCGGGGACATGTAGTATTGATGCCGTCTTGAGCTTGTCTGCTTCTGTTGCAGTGTTGGTCGATTGTAGTGCACAAGGCTCTGTTGGCACTTGTGCCCTGACACTGCCATGATTGTCGAAGCTGGTAAGTTCTGCCTGCAGAGCTCAGTTATCGTAGATGCACGCACTGAGTGGTTGGTATATCGCTGCGATAAGGGGCCGTCCGTAAATATCGATGTTTTTTTAGAGACGATATTGGTGCGTCTGGGGGGGAGGGGGTTTGAGCCATGTGCGTCTTTTCGAGCATCAGAAAAATATCGATGTAAATATCTGAAGTTTCGCCGATCCCTGCACGCGGACGTCTACATGGCTATACAAGAAATGTGAAACCAGCTTCCGTTCGCGGAGCTAAAACTCGCGACACAAGAACAAAATCAAAAATTGGAAGCTGTACGCCCATGGCGAATTTCAAGAGCAAAAGAATGAGTTATTGATTGTGGAAATCGGCCGAACGATGCCTGCAGGAGACCTTTTTCAAGACGTAGAGGCAGTGCGAACAAACACGGACGAACTCCACAAGAGTTTCCAGTCTTCACTGCCTGAACAAGGATTTGAAAAAATTCTTGGGTTCATATTATTGACAAAAAAAGGAAAAAATGAGCATCCAAAAATATTGATTCCATGATCTAGATGTACATGTGCGTCTTCTGGGGGGAGGGGGGGGGGTCAAGGGAGAGAAGCACCAATATCGTCTCTAAAAAAACATCGATATTTACGGACGGCCCCTAAGTTCCATTTCACAGACAGGATTGACATCAAGCTGCCCAGGGTATTCTTACCCAAAGGCTTCCCACTGTACCATACAGTAGACTCACGAGTAGCATGTTTCTTCACTTGCTGGACTGACAAACGTGTCTTTCCAGAGGTAGGCTTAGGCAGTTTTGATGACAGGAGCTTGAAACCTTTTACATACATGGGGTTGACGAGGCGACCATCAGAAACGCTGTCAGCTGCAGAAATCGAGCCTTGCTGCGTTTTCGACTTGTACGATGTTGTTAGCTTCACGCACTCCCCATACTCAGAATTACTGCACTCCTCAAAGTCTTCCACGCATAGATCACACTGAGACTCGCGGCCACGCAAGCAAAAATGCTTAGTGATGCCGAACCAGACCATTTCTGCGAGGGCGATAGGATCAGACTCATAGTTGGAGACAAAGTAAGAGTTAAAAGCTTCGCTTGATCTTCGTGGCAAAGAGCGTCCTTATGCTGAACTTCCTTCAGCTGGCCATCTTGCTTCATTTTTTTATCAAAGCATTGAGCGCTTGGTTTGCTTGCACAAATTATCGGTCCGTGATTATGTTGATGGGTCGTCGTAGTTTGGTGAGGCGTCGTTGAATGGAAGCACGAAATGAAATGAGGCTTACCTTGCTGTACATCTTTTTTTTTCATTTTTGGTCCGGATTTCGACGTATGCATGTTTCAAAATGCCAGCAAGGTCGGTCGGAGAAACAGTGGCCAGATCACACGTTACTTTCTTCTTGCGGCAGAAATCGGTCAGAACGGTAAGCCATTTTTTGGGTGGCAGTTGTCGTGTTTTGGTTTATCGTTTCGTCGATAAGCTTTTCAATATCTTCGTCAGATACTACTTGACATCTGCTCGTCGTTGAACACCGCCTCCACGTGGTGGTACTCTTTCGTCTCCATTTACAGCATCATCACGTAGTGGACCCGGATCGGGAGGCAGTGAAAGTACAGTTTCATTCTCCATATTTGCTTGTCCACTATACCTAAAAAGGAACACTTTCTCTCGCAAGGTGAACTGCAACTGACAGCACGCATGCGCACTGGGAGCAGATTCAGCGGGCAATACACGAAAATTCCTGCCCGCTGAGCAAGAGCGCTCATTGGCTGCAGTACAGACAACCCTCACGTGACATGCAATAAAGGATGTGTATCGGAGGGGGAGGGGAGGGTAATAAAGGATGTGTATCGGAGAGGGGGGGGGGGCGTAATACAGGATGTTTTTCGGGAGGGGTAATACAGGATGTGTATTCGGGGGAGGGGGTAATACTGATTGTCGGGAAGGGTGGAACACAGAGTGTGTATCAAGAGGGGAAAATGGGCAACACTGTAAGCTTGAGTAAAGTGAGAAGCTTTCGCTAGAGATTAAGTTTCG